GAAAAGCCCTGTGCAAAAGCACTGTGCCCTCTGCTACCTATCAGCCAGCACAAAGAGTTGCCATGCTGGGTGCTGCCTTCCTGCTCCCCAAGAACTCAAGGCTCGTCTGATTAGCCTGTAATTAATCCTTTCCATACTCTTTACCCTCAACAAACCATACTGACATGCTTGTCTGGCCTCAGCACTCCCTGACTGCTTCTGAAACATCAGGCCATGCTTTAAACCAACTGGGGAGTGACTCCATCCGTTAAAGTCCTTCCTGTTTCCATCAAAGAGCTGGCAGCACTCACACAGACAGCCCTGCTGGGAGCAGCTCACAGCCGCCAGCACGGGCAGAGGCTGCCAGGTGACACGTGCAGCAATCCTACAAGCAGAGACAGCCCAAACTGCTGCACCGTATGCTGTAAGCTTTGCTGCAGGAACAGAGAGAGGGGCGACTCTTCCCTTCATGTTCTGTATAAATAAGCAGCACGGTTACGCTCTGCAGACAACGCTGTCAGAAACGTCAGAGCTTGGATTTATCAAAGCCTTATGAGATTTCCTTCCGTCTGAAGCATCCGTAAATAAAGCACAGAGCTCTCCCAATCCCAGGACGTGCAGCTCGCCAGGACCTCAGACAAAGGATGCGTGCATGGGGTGGATCTTCAAAGCACAGAAAAAACAGTCAGTGTGTCAACAGCGAGAGCAGCAGCAGCCTCTGAGCTCTGCCATAAGCCTTGGCTTTTCCTCTCAGTCTATAAATACCTCTCTATAACGGAGAGAATTCTTCTTTGACACTTTCATATAATGGATCAACATAAAAATGCAGTGTCTTGGCAGCCCGCTGGGGCTTCCCCTGGGGAGCCCAACAAACGTGCTGCTGTTTGATGGGGTTTTTTCCTTCCCACTCTACAGCCAATGCTGTATTTCACAGATGATTCCCAAAGGAAAAAAAAACCCTATTCCTGCTTTGCTGGAGCTGCAGAGGCTTCCTTCAAAGTTCCCAACCCTCTGCAGCGACCTCAGCTCTGTGAGCTCATGGGTGTTTGTTGGCTTTGGTGCTTCCCCAGAAGGAGGGCAGTCTGATATAGGGCTCATACATCTCCCTGCAGCCCCTGACAGTAACACAAACCCCATGATTGCGCTTGCAACCCGAGCCACCAGCTCTCAGTGCTGCCCTAAGAACACATGGGAGTGATTTGTCAAAGATGTTATTATACACAAGCATAAATAAAGCAAATTCAACTGTAAACACAACAGAAGTAGGAGAATCCACACGATGTCTGTCTGCTGAGCAGCCCTCCTTGAGCCGATTCTCTGCTGTCTATAGCTTCAAAACAGCAACATAATGGATCCCCCAAAGAACTCATCACACCAACCTGCAGTGCCCATCCCAACCCACCCACACATCTCCCAGGTGCTTGCATTAAGCTCTCCAGCCATGGCCTCGTTGGCAGCACCTTAAGGATCAGTGAGAGGGCAGAATATGACTCATGGCATTGAATGGACGCTGATAACAGCCTGGCACAGAACTCTTTGCTGGGTAGCTAAGACTTGACAGCACGTTTTCAGGAGCAGCAATGATAGAGCAGAATGCCCTGCTATTGACGTAAGACACAAAAGCTCAATGCCCTGCAAGAGCTGGTCTGGCACTCAGGTATTTCAGTACACTGAGGAGCAACAAGAGCCAGCAGGAATCCTCCACTGAGCATCTTCCAAAGGTCAGCAGTGTTGGCTGCCGGCTCCTGCCAGCAAACATCCATCCTGGGGCTGGAACAGAGTCAGCAGCGATGAAATACCACAAAGGGGATTACAGCTCAAGGAAATAAGGGCTGAGAAGCAGAAAGCTGGGCTGTGACAGGTCAGAGCCGTGCTCCTTCCAGGCACTTGGCAAGCTCAGGCTCATGAGCAGCACTAATGCCAATTGTAGCTCTTACTGAGGCTTGCTCAGCCAGCACAATGGCAGCAGACATTTTGTCCTGGACAACTGGAGAGTTCCTGGGAAAAAATAATCTTTCTCCTCATCTCTTTGTCTCAGTATAATTAAGGTCAATACTACAAAGTGTCTGAGGGGGGGAAGCTCTTTGTAGGGCTCTCAAGAGCTGCAGAAGTGTTTGTAGTACAAGATTGTCTCTGTACGACTGCTGATTACTGATCTCATTATTTAGACTTCACGACAAAAGCCACTTCTGTTCCCAGATGGATAATAGGTGTCAAGAGCAAAAACCCAGAGAAAGGCACGGGAAGAAGTTACAATAACAAATTACAGCCCATTTGTGCCATCCTTGGTGTTAGGCAATTAATAATGGTGGGACGAAGCACCGCAGCGCTGCTGAAAACAAAAAGCAATGCTGGTTAGAGGATGTTTAATGAGCACGTTTTGTGTTGTCCTCAGCAAGTTCGTTGCCAGGCCACAAAAGACGTTTATCCACGCTTCCTTTATCTCTAACCAAGGGCTCATGGCTGCTTGTTCCTTACTATATCCACAGGTTTCAATTAAAAAGCCTATGGTGAAAAGAGGGATCCCCTGATTGCACGCATCTGGCGCCCGGCAGCTTCTGCTGCCCTGCAATGCAACGTGCTCACAACGGTGTGCAAGGGAAGGCACAGCATCCCCTGGGCTCCTGACACCCACCCTCCCCCTCCATCCCCTGCACACTGCATTGCTGGCACAGCGAGGGAACCCAGCGTCCCACCGCTCCTTTATGAGAGCACACAGCACCACAGGGCCCTTTGATCTCAGACAATCAGATTAAGGCCACGGAACAGCAGCTCTGACCTCCATCACCAATGACTCAGAACAGCTCTGGAACACGAGAGCCAAGAGTGGGTTTGGAGCTCCACTCATATTTAATCAAGCCATTTAAATCTCACCCAAAAAAAACCCAAATTCCCTATTGTAACATGCATGGGTTTCTTGGCACCTGCAGCAGGGCTGCCTGCTGCTCCAGTGCTGAGTGGAGGAATTTCAGAAGTAGCTGGGATTTTATTTGGCGAGGCTGGGGGGACAGAAAGGAGGTTAATATGCACTCACACACACCAAACTAGAAACACCTGCTGGCATTCGGGGCAGTTTTTTGGCTGGTTTATGAAGACTGAGGGTCTAACAGGTGTCCTTGCAGCCAGTGGGAATATAAGGGGGGTACAGAGGCCCCACAAACACTAAATTATGCAAAAAGCAACGGGTGCACAACTATACACTGCACACACATCTGTGTGCACAGGTTTAACAACAAGAAACAGAAGTCCCACAAAATTAAGCACAGGTGGGAAGAAACAAGCACAAAAATGGAAAATCTCAGCTCAGGACAGCCAGGAAAGGCTGGGTTCTTCATTCCTTGTACGGCTGGATGTTCTACATAGGATGCTCTGCCCAACCAGCACATGGCTGGATGCTCCACAAGTGATAGTAACAAACCTCTTTGCTGGCTGGAGCTGCCCTGATTTATCTGTGGGGTTTGCCAAAGGAAAAACAACAAATCTGCCCCCAAACCTGCTTGCAAACAGCAGCGTCCCAACTCCTTGGCTGCTGGAGGAGAAATGCTCTGCTTCATTGAGCCTGGCTGTTATTAATGGTGGAATCTGTCCAGTGAACTGGCAGCTGAGGAATAATTGCTGCTATTTAATCTCAGAAACAGATTTTAAATTGGCCTCATGGACTGCAGAACCATGGAAGGTTCAGCTCAGCGTCTCACTACCATCCCAAATCGGTGCTGGGTTCTGGCTGGGCTGGAAATCCCTTGAGCTGAATGCAGGTTGGTGCACACCTCCACTGATGGAGGATGGGTTGTTTGTTTGGGAACTGGAGGCATCTGTAAGGGAAAAACCAAAAGCAGACAAAGCTGCATCTCTGGGATCATCCAAAATATGTGTCACCTTCTGTGTGGACCAGAGAGTGAAATGGAGCTAAACTGCAAGGAAGGCTGAGCAGCCCCACTTCTCTGTTCTCACCCAGTGAAGTGCAAAATGAACACACAGAGGCTGAACGCTCAATTAGGCTTCTGAAATCAAAGCACCTCAATAGGGCCACAAGCAAGGCTGTGATTTTTCCAGGGAGATACATTTCTTAAAACTCATTAAACGCGGAAAATATGTTATATTTCCCAAAGATTTGGTAAAACAAAGGCAGAATTGAAGCTCAGATACTCATCTGAGGCCACAGATCCTGCAGACATCCCTTGGCACAGCCACACTGCCTGCATTGGGCTGACTCTCAATGAGCACAAAACTGGAAATCCTCTGATGTGCCAACGCTCTGCATGCATTCCTCCATTCCCCCAGCACTCAATGATTCATTTCCTCCACCCGTCCTTCCTCCACCTCTCCATGTCCAGAGCCGCCAGCAGGAGAAGCCATTCCACCACGAAGTGCTCTGGGAGGAGGATCTTCCTGCACAGAACCACATCCTTGATCAGCCCATGACCTCCCAGCCTTGGCCACCCACAGGACCTGGGCACCACCATTGCTTCCCCATGGCTTGGCAGGAGACGTTGGTCCCACTGGGGTGTCACAGCATGGATGTGCCATTGGAAAAGGGATTGAGGGCAATGCCACTGCAATTCCCTGCCGTATATACAGATATCCACAGCCTGACCTGAGCAATCTGAATACACTCTAACCTACACAGCTGGGAAGCAAGCACTTCTGCCTGCTTTGCAGAGGATTACACTACAGCAAGCACAAAGGAGCAGGAAATCCACCCACTGAGTGCACACATCCCAGGCTCAGGGTCTTTGCTTCAAACCTCATTTGTGCCATCGTTTTGCTCACAGCACTGCAGCATCAAAATCAGCTGCTGAGGGCCAAAACACAGAGAGTGAGAGCGAAGGCTGAGCACAGAGCCCTGCAGCACCATCCATCACAGACAGCACTGCAGGGCTGGGCAAGGAGACGCGATGCAAACTCAGGGTTTGCATGGAGCAATCCGGAACTCCCAGCAGCAGCACTGCTCTGTGCTTGACTTTAAGTTCTCAATAGCACTTGGCAGCAGGACGCAGCAGCAGCAGCCATGCAGTACTTACAGAGCAGGCAGGCAGAGTGCCCTGGGCCCCTGTAGGCGCAGCAGCGGTGTGCGATGCGGCGCTGCAGGCGGTTCAGCTGTCCGTACCCAGCGTGGGATGTGGTCCTGTAACAGCAAACAGCAATGGGCAGTAAATCTGACCTTTTTTCCCCCTCACCCCACTGTTATGGGGTTCCTTGGAGCGGTGCAATGGGGCTGAGGATGCCCTCTGCTGCTGGGATGGATCCGGAGCACAAATAAATACAAGCCGTGCTTTTTTTCCCTGCTGTGCTTGCACAAACATCAGCATGGAGATTGAACTTCTGAAGCTTCGCTGGCAGAACATGAAAACTGCTCCAGCACAGCAAAAGCAGACAAACAACAACAAATATCTGGCACAGCCACTGAAAATATTTATCCCAACTCTGCCTGTTTGGTTCTGTCTGCACGTTTCTGCAAACAGAGCAAAGCAAGGGTGAGCCATTGCTCCCCACGAAGGAAACCCTCAGCATCCCTCTGTGCCAATCAGCAGATGGAGGCACAGCAGAGAGATGCAAAAGCAGATCCCAATTTCTCTACAAGCTGTCAGCAAATCCTGGAGGGGGGAACTGTGGTGGAGAAGCAGTGGGATTTAGTGTCACAGCTAAAGGGCCGAGGGGGCAGGTGTGAGCAGAGCCTTTGACGTCCTCTTAAAAGACAGACTCTGTTTGCTCCCTTATTACCACGACACAGATATCATCACGGCAGTAATTACAGCAATTACACGACAGGAAGAATTCCTAAACTTCAGACTGAAAAGCTGCCTCTGGCCAAAGATGCTTCGTTGGAATTATTGCTGCTATTCCATACAGGCTTGCAACCGCTTGGTGGGGCCAAAAAGCGGGTGGGGGGCAGGAGGAGCAGTGGATATTGCAGCTGGGCTTCTGCACTCCAAGGAAGTTTTCCAAAGCAGCCAAATGATTAACAGCAAACTGTAATGCTTAATTGGAAAGGAAGGGCTGCCCTGCCCCTGGAATAACAGCAAAAGGAGGAAAAGAAAGAAACAACGGGAAGCAGGTGTGCAAAGTGCAATGCAAAGCACAGGTTGGAGTTGAACTGTTTGCACAATCACTGCCTCTTGTGCTCAGAATAGCAGAAGAGCATCACTAGCTGGGTTTGCTACTGCTGGTTGGTATTTATATACATACACACACACACACACGTGTACAAAATGAACTTGAAAAGGCAACACACAAAACTTTTGTTCCATAGTATAACAGGAATGAGCTGTTAAATGAAGGAAGAGAATAACAAAGGCTACATTAAGCAGAAGTCCAGTTGTGGACACCCCCCCCAAGTTCCTACACTTGGGCCATGAGCAGAGGACAACCTGACTGCATTCCCTCCCATTCAGAACAGAGCATCGCCTCCCGCAAGCAAAGACTGTGCAGATGTTCGAGTTTCCCTTTACCTCTCTGAGCTTTTGGAACACGTTAAAAAGCAGATGCACAGCACAATCCCTCACCACCCTGCACCCTCAGCTCTGAAATGCAGCCCCCCAACCCCAGGACAGCACCAGATGCTTTCTGCTACTCACATGTGGGGCTGCAGCTCAGTGCCAGCAGCAAGGGAAGAGATCCACAGTGCAAGGATGAGCACCAGCATGGGAGCCTCCATGGCAGCACCTCTGCAGCCTTACTGCTGGGGGTCACAAATGGAGCACATCCACCCCCCCCAGCTGCTTCCTCAGCTCAGTGCAGTCCATGGGAAGCTGTCACAGCACGTGTCAGCGCTGGGTTGGAGCCAACAGCAAACCTGGCTTCTGGTGCTGCAGGGAATAACAGTGACTTCTCCTCCTGGCAGCTGCTTCCTGACATGATGTGAACCTGTAGGGGTTTCACAGAGCCGGGTCCTGTCCCACTGTGCAGCCCCATGAGGTTGGGGGGGGGGCTGAGCCCCCAGGTCAGCTCCTCACACTCAGTGCTTGCTCCTTTCTCTCTGTGTTGAGGGGCAGAAATCCCTCCCACAGTTGTGCCCAGCCACACCAGAGAAGGGGAAGACCTGCAGAACAGCAGCAGAAATAAGGTTGGCTTTTTTTCACCCCCAAGGAAGAGTTCTTATGCTGTGCCCAAAGTCAGCTCCCAAACACCCCTTTCCAACACACCAGGAGGGATCTCACTGACATTTGGTCTTCCAATGAAATGTAACAGAAAACAATCCACCTCTACCCAAGGAGACTCTGTAAAGTTGGGGAGAAGGTGCAGAACCACAGTGCAAAATGAGCAGTTCTGGAGGAGCTGGGAAATAGGATGGGCATGCTGCCGGCCTTCTCCTACCACAGCACTCGTTCTGCAGGGAAAAGCACCCCCGGAGGAGCTGATGGGGATTTGCCTGAGCTGAGCTTTCCCAGCTCCATCAGAGTCCATGGAATCATTAAAGCTGGAGAAGACCTCTAAGACCATCAAGTCCCCAAAGGAGCACAGCGAGCCGCAAGATGGGACAGCAGGACAGGACAGGGAGCAGCAGGGAGAACGTGAATGGGGAGAGAGGACGGCCGTGAGGCGCAAGGTGAGGCGGCCTTCAGCACACTGAGCTGCACGTGGGAAGCATCGCAGCCACGCGAGCTCTTCGGTCAGGCACGAGGGAGCTCGTGCGGGCACCGAGCCCGACGGACGGCAGGAGAAGAGCGGTGCCAAAAGCGGGTGCGCTTTGAGCGGCTTTCTGCACACGACGGGATCCGCACGGGGGGGTGGGAGCCCGAACCCAGCGCTGCTGCAGCGGCAGCTCCGGACCCTGCAAACCGCGAGCTGCACGAAGCCACGCGCCCGCCCGCTCCGTCGCGCTCTCCCATCCCATCCCCTCCCCTCCCCGACGCGGGGCGGTGCAGCGCGGCTCGGCCCCTCCCGCTGCCCGCCCCGGAAGGCGGCGGAGCTCCGTTCGGCGCAGCCCGGCCCTTCTCGCCGCGATGCTGCAGCTCCGCGATCCGGAGGAGGGCGGCCCGGAGGACGAGGAGGCGGCGGGGGTGGGGGGGGCGGCGGCGCTGCTGGTGCCGGGGGGTCCCGAGCCGCCTTTCTCCGCCGCCCCCCCGCGGCAGAAGCTGCGCCCGCTGAACGTGAGAACCGCCAGCCGCGCCGGCCGCCTGAAGGAATACTTCGTGTTCCGGGTACGGCCCGGCCCGGCCCGCCTCGCCTCCGGCCCGTTCGCCCCTCTCTCCTCTCACCTCTCGCTTTCTCGCCCCCCCGCAGCCCGGCACCATCGAGCAGGCGGTCAGCGAGATCCGCGCCGTCGTGATGCCCACGGAGGACGGCGACGTGGAGAGCGTGTGGCTGCTGACCGAGTGAGTAGCACGGGGCAGCCGCGGCTGTAGAGCTGGAGGAAGGCGCTGCTCTCTTCTGCGTGCTCAGATGCGGTTAATAATTTACTGGCAATTATGTTTTCTATGTTGTGCCATTTCTGAGCCGGGATGTTCAACCTCTTCTCAGGCCTGGTGGTGGGAAGCGAAGGCTATGATGGAAAACACAGCAGTGCCGACACTTGGCTCTGCTCTCCATCGCAGCCCTTGTATCAGACAAGCTGTTACATGTTTCCAGCCAGCTAAAGCTCCACGTTCCATCTCTTACCAGAATCGACCACTGGAACAACGAGAAGGAGCGCCTCGTGCTCATCACCGACCGGTCCCTTCTGATCTGCAAATACGACTTCGTGGGCCTGCAGTGCCAGCACGTCACCAGGATTGCACTCAACGCCATCGACACCATCTCTGTAGGGGAGTTTGAGTTCCCACCTAAATCTCTGAACAAGTAAGTTGATGCAGTCCCAGTTCAGTCCCGTGGCTGTCAGTGCACACAGCTTGAGCTGGCAGCCTTTGCCCTGGGACAAACCATGAGCTCTTCCTATTGGTGCTGGTCGCCAACTTTGTTTATTCAAATTCCATCAGTGATAAAGGAGCTTGCTGTCTTGAATAGCTACAAACCAGCACCACAGTTCCTGGCTTTAAGGAGGCCTTTTCCAGACCTCTAATGGAGGCCATCCCATATTAACCCCGCTGTCTTCAACACCAGGAGAGAAGGAGTTGGTATCCGCATCCAGTGGGACAAGAGGAGCCGTGCGTCCTTCATCAACAGATGGAACCCATGGTCCACCAACGTCCCCTACGCCACCTTCACTGAGCACCCGATGGCAGATGCTGATGAGAAGGTTGCATCCCTCTGCCTGGTAAGGGAATCACCTCTGCTGGTCTAGAATTCTAGATGGCCTTTGTTATTGCAGGCTGGGTGCTGCTTAGAGTGGGTAAATCAAACAGGAGCAGTTAAATCCAACACACAGCTGCATCTTCCTGTTCTCTGCATCTCAGCTCTGAAGGGCAGCTGAAGCAGTTTGTGCCAGCTGGTTTACTCAGAAAGGAAGCTAAACCTTCTGGAAGTGCAGAGTCCTGTAAAACCCAAAAGAAAATGGATCTTGATGTTATTCCTGCTTTCATTTATCTGGCAGGCAAAGGGCTGACTTTTGTCTGGCACTTCCACCAGCTAATTAAACACATAACATAGTTGTTGATGCAAACCTTCACTTGGTAGCTCTCTTTTTTCTTTCAGTGGTTGCTCTCCTCAGATTTACACTTTGCAATAGAACATTACAGCAATTTAACTCCAGCACTAGCGTTAATGGCAGGAGAACAGCACAAAAATAAGATGGCTACTGATAGCTTATTTACATATCTAGCCAATGTTTGCTTGTAAACAGTGCTATATGACATTAGTCATAATTACCAGAATGCAAAATTTATTGTGGGATGTGAGATTCACAGCAACAAGAGCTTTAGTGTTGACCCTTGACACTTTTAGCAGCCTTCCCTATGAAAGCAGAGGGATTTGTAAAACAATGGGGAAAACATCACAGTGATTATTATTATTTTTTTTTAATCTTTCAGTTGGAAAACTTTAAAACTCAGCTCATCCAGGCCGTGAAGAAAGCTCACAAGGAATGGCCACTGCCAGGAAGGGCCAACGGGGTCCTGGTGCTGGAGCGGCCTCTTCTGATTGAGACTTATGTGGGATTGATGTCCTTCATCAACAACGAGGCCAAGCTTGGCTACTCCATGACAAGAGGCAAAATTGGGTTTTAAAATGCACAGCATTTGGTCTTTTTAAAGGGAAAGCGATTTTATGTTAGGCTCCTGGGGAGAACCCTGCCTGGCAGAATATTTGGTAAGCAAAGCAAAGACATTACAGGAAGGAAAGGGGGTGGGTGCAGAACCAGCAGTTCACAGGAGGCCCTGGTTGTTACAGAGAGGAGAATGCAGGATGCAGAGTGAGCTGAAGCAGACACACAGCGGTGTCATGCCTGTATTGTGTAGCTAACTAACAGCCCTTACCCAGGGCCAGCAAGCAGTGCTGTTTTCTCTTCCATTTCTAACTGCACATTCTTCCCTGTTAATCTGTGCAATCAGAATCTGCTGCAAACAGTGCCCAAGGTCCTGTGCCATAGGACAGTTGTACCCCAAATCACGTGCTGTGCTGGGGACTGACCTGTATTCTTAAAGAGGTTCCAGTGTCTCCCAGTTACAGAGATCTTAGCTTACTGATGACTGACACACAGCTTTCAGGACTCATAACAGGCATCCTTTAGCAAGAGAGCCAGCAACTCCTGTTACAGCTGTACTGCCACATGTGCTCAGAAGCAGGGAACGTGGCCTGTTTCTTTGTCAGCAGGCACATGGCTGAATATCTATCATTAGCTTTTTGTAAAAGTAGCTCCTTCCTCAACTGAATCTGACTTGCCATTTCGTACCACCTTTTGCTGTAACCACAAAGACTGTCTGAGAGAATTGCCAAAAGCATTGCAAACATTTGCCTTCAGAGCTGTTACCTGTAGTAACCCTACTTTGGTCACATTTATATCCATAGCAATTTTCTTACATCCACTCTAGTTTGGCACAGCAGCAGCACGGGGCCTCCTAACAGAGACACACAGAACTTTAAGCACTGTATGTCAATCTTGATTTATACATTCTTACATTTAACCTCATCCAAGCCTCCAGTACTGAATTTCAGAAGCAGGGGAGAGATGCTATAACCACAAGTGCTCACAGGGTTACTGCAACAAGCTTTGTCATTGTCTGTGATCTTCTATAAACATGGTTTTATGGGAATCTGTCTGCACAGCTGCAATGCTGAATAAATACTGTGCTGCAGCAGCTTTTTCTTTTTTGAGCTTGATTTGTGTTTCTGAAACTCACACAAAGCTGAAATAACAGTGGAATGCAACAAGTTGCAGCACCTCTCAATGCATTCTCTAAGGTATCTGCTTCATTGTTACCTTTCAGTAAAGTTAGATGTCCCCAACTTATTCTTCATTCATTTTGCAGAGACTGAGGCTGTCGAATTAATGGCATTTTTTTTTAGTTAGAATCATATTAAGTCTGTAATTATCAAAATATTTATTGGAAATTATCAAAGTTAAATAATATCTATACATTATGTACATTCAGCTACAATGTTAGAAAAAACACTCCATAGTTCACAGAATTAGCAAGAAAGTTCAATTACATCAGAACTGAAGTCTTCTTAAAAATCCAGACTTTGTTTTCCACACTTTAGATGCAACATCATTCAGAAACACACACAGCACCTTATGGATTGGAGTTTGATTAAGCTCCTTCAAATAAATAACTTATAAATAAAACACTTCAGATTGGGGTTTGACCCCTTTCCTCATTCTTCCTCAGATTTGTGAGCATTTCAATGCAACTGAGAGTTATTTCACTTCTTCTCTTCCTAAGTAACACACACACAAGTTATCCTTACTCAGAAGTGCCATGGAATCTCCACTAGGATGCCAGCAGAGAGAAACAATCTGGAAGTCACCTGCAGAAACAGCAAGAAGCACCTCCTTATTCCAGTCCCCTTTTCCTAGGTAAAAAGCCACATGCACTGCAAAACAACCATCCCTCCCACCTTAGAAGCTTTAAACAGGGAGTCTGATTTTGTTACTGTGCAGTGGAGACCAGCACAAATAATCTGCAGTCTTCTTCTGAAAGATTGAAAGATCTGTTTTCAAGGGGCCATAAGCCAAAGCTAAACCTTTACTTAATTTGGCCCCAGCATTATTCTAAGTGGAAATAAAAAGCTCATGACAGCTTGCAGAGGGCACTGTACCTTCTTTACCTTCGGTTGGCACTTGTACTGACACACATCCAGCTGGGGACCACAGGTAGACTTTGCTATTTCCTGTACATAAAGCAAGTCGAGGCTGCCGTGGGTCCCACTGGAAGGACTGGATGGCACACAGCTGCTCCAACACTACAAACAGTTTGAGTTTTTGAATGTCCCAGATCCAGACAGCATTAGGAATGTTATCTGACAGAAAGAAAGGGGAAATCATTTGAAAACCCAAAGGAAAAACAGGCCTCACAGCCTCTTTAGAAGTACTCAGTTTGTCTTCCAGCCTCCGCTGTTTCTTACTGAGCTATTCAGCCATGCTGCTGTTAATGGGCTCTGCCTCCGAACCACAGCTTTTGCATCCTGACATAAACAGCCTTCAGGCCTGTCAAAGGGAAAACCTGAGTGTCAATGCCATGATCACGTGTCAATCAGAAGCCCCACAACAGGCTGTGAAGAGCTCTGCCTTCCAAGACACACTGAAAGCAGAGCAGGAAGGAACTGAGCACTTCCTTTTCCAATCCAGTGGCTTCATATACATGTGAAGCACAAAGAGCAGGTTTTTAAGTATAAAGGCAAGCTCAAGGTAAAGCACATATAACAAAAAGGTTTCTCCTTTAACAGAGGACAGTAGGAACTTACCATTTTTGGTTGCCAGGAAACAGTTATCAGGACTGAATGCCAACATCCCAATCCCCATTTTGGGATTAGCCCTATCAGCAACTGGTTTGACGTACTGGAAAGAGACTGGCACCTGGGAAATGTCATCTGGAATTGAAATAAAAGTATCCTAAGCGAGCCTGAATGGACAAAGCATTCAATTCCACCTGCTAAAAACAGGACAGTGATTTACTCTCCTGCAAGATGCTCCTATTAGAAACCAATAGTGCTTTTTTTTATTATTATTTTAACATTACATCTTTCTATGAATAGCTTTCTATTCTTACTCTCCTACAAAAACTAAAAAGGACTGGAAATCCCACACCTGAGATTTACCTATTTTTCATAGTTTAGATCAAGTTTTCCACCATCTTTTAACTTTTATTCCAAACCAATACCAATGCAAGGCAAAGGTGGATACTGCTATAGTACCAAAAAGTAAGAACAGTAGAAAAATACTAATCATACATTGTCTTCCATTAGTTCAGTATTTCAGAGTCCCTTCTAAAACAAACAGCAAGACTTACACCTCCTGATGTTATTTTATAAACCCCTGGAACTGCCACATGCTGTAAGATTCTTAATTGCTAATCAGGTGCTGCAGTTAAAGCAACTCCAAGGCATGAGACAACATTGCATGGGTTTCTGCAAGTCATAAGAAATGCAGTGTTCAGATAGCTTTTCTAAGCCACTTGGAGACACATCTGCATTTCTATACTGCTATTTCTCCTGTGTCCAAGCAGTACAAGAGAGCTGTAACAACAGCCCACTGATCTTTAGAGTGCCTTCAGAGTGCAGCATCCTCTCCAGCAGGGTGCTTCTGCCCTGGAGCTCTTCAGTTAACTCAGGAGACTGGAGCAGAGCACCCAGAGGATCCATTCCAATATCAGCATTTACGTAACATTTATTTATAGAGTGATTTCAGATGGCAAGCTCAAGTGTCTTACTTTACTAAACCTTGGCTTACATTTACTTTGTGTGCTGAAGACAGAACTAGCCAATGCTCTTGTCGGAGGGAAAGAAAATCTCTCTGTTTCAACAGATGGGGATTTCTCCACTTCTTTATACACAATCTACAAAGAAACAAGTGACAGTTCTAAGAAGGGCCTGGGAGAGTTTGAACTCGGGCTATTAATAAATATCCACATCCCACTAACTCGAGTGTTATACACCTCATTTCCAGGTGTATGACAGCTCAGCATCCCCAGTTCATCAGTGAAGGAGAGGGGCTTCAAGTAGGCAAATACTGAATCCTGCATGCTGAATTATTTGCTCATTGGAACCATCATCAAGAAAACTCTGCTGACAGATAAATGCATCTTGAAGTCCATGAAGAAGCATGAGTCCACCTCATTTAATATTCCTGAAACCTACACCTGGCAGGGCAATAAATTATTTTCATTATAATGGGAGCATAAAATCATTTGTTTAACAAAGAATCTTTATTCTTAATATTACCATAAATAAACACAAAGTGCAAAACTGCAGGAGCAAAAATATTTTAACAGCAGGCCTATAACTTCTTATCCCCTAGCAGGATAAAAAAATGCCAACTGTAATTCTTGTTTGTGTAGTAGAGGCTAGCAGAGTTGTTTCCATTTGTCTTCCATTACATGCTCTATGCTTCACAGGAAAATAAAAGGTCATTTTTCAATTAAGAAAAGTTGTGTTGTGCTGAGCTGTGATCAGTGGATCGTGATCCACATCCTCAGATCTCTAGGGCAGTCACCACCTACAGTAAGACACACTGACACGTGGCAGCAGTCCTTGGAGAATCTACTAATGCTTACACTGATAATCAAAAGTGTATCCCAGAAAGTTTGAAAGGATTCCTTTATTTTTTCCTTATGATTTCAAATATTCAAGTTCCCCAAGCACCATTTAGAGCTTAGGAGGGGAAAAAAGGAAAGCCTCCAGGATGAAGTGGATTTACTAACATCTTTGGAAACAAACAGCCACACCAACCAAGTGCTGATAATGATTCAGTTTGGAGCCATACTTACAGCCTTTGTGTTACTAAGAGTTGCTGGATGTTCAAACTCTGTGATCTTTTTCCACGTTACATGGTTCAAGATACGCACCTAATTCAGGAGGATATTGCAAGACAGAGTGGTTACAACACGATTCTGAAAGTGGTTTAGATAGGTTTATTTTCTCTTTTCCATTTCTTACCTTTTCGTCATAGCTGCCAATTGCCAAAAATTGGCTGCTGGGACTCCAGGCAATGGATTTTATGCCTAACGACCATTCATAAGCCTGGTATGTGGACAGCAGTCTGCCATCAAGGGAGTACAGCAATATTTTGTACTGAAACAAATTGATGATTTGGTTTGGTCCTATTGCCCATAACTCCACAGCCATCAGAAGACACTTTGCACAAGAGATAACATTTAAACATTCCTAACTTCTTGGGTCACTACTTAAATTCTCATGCAACATAAAGTAACATTGTCTTACAGAATAATTCTTTCCTTATTTATCTGAGTAGCAGCTTCCACAATGTTTATAATCAAAACTACAAATCCATTTTCATATAAGTTAGATGTCAATAAGCTATTTCATCATCATCAAGGACCCACATAAGTTTGACATACTTGTTAGGATGCCCATTACCTACATAGGTGACATATTCTGAAATGTTTCCTTGGAGTTCAGCTTATCTTACATTTGTTTAGAAATACAACACCACATTTTATCTTAGTTATTGCTTCATACATGGCAGCTATAAAAAATAACTTAAATTCCTAAATTCATCTTCCCCCTCATACCTCAAGACATGTATCCCACACTGCCAGAACACAGCCATTGGGAGCCCACTCAATCCCAAACAGATCTTGTGTTTCAGTGTCAAAATGCTGCCCCCAAAAGAGAAAAACATCATTTGAAGCATAACACTAACAAATACTACATATGTAATCCTCAGTTTCACCCTTCCAAATGCTATCACAAATATAACAGTTTTTCATATGCCAGCCCAGAAACGTACGGTTTACTGTCACTAAAGTTTATATGAGGGGCTGTTTGTTGGTTGTTTCTTTACACACGTAGTATACACAGCTTCCTCAGCAGAAGCCCCCTGCTATGGAAGTATGCTGCAGGCCAGCAAAGGAGCCAGATGCTGGCTAGAAAATACACTGGCAAGTCTACAACCAGAGTAGCAAAGTGATGGTGTTTAAAGTAGCGTGCAGCAGATGCTCGTTACCTATTCAGAAGCAGGGCAAGGCAGACACTTCTTACCCTCAGCAGCTGCCAGTTACTGCACACAAAGAGGCTGACAAAGTCCTTGCAGTCACGTCTTTCTGCTACTGCCATGTAGCGGCCATCCTTGGTGAAAGCTATTCCTGCCAGTGGGACAGAAAGCAAAGTCAGAGAGCAAGGCAGAGTAAGTGATGATTGGCCAAAAAAAGCAGATGAAGCAGTTAATTTTGTTT